AGAGAGAGAGAGAGAGAGAGAGAGAGAGAGAGAGAGAGAGAGAGATGTGTGGGTGGGTGGGTGTGTGGGTGGGTGTTTTGGTGTGTTTGGGGGGATTCATCATTTCACAGGTTTGTTGTGTGTGTGTCTGTCCGACGAAACAGGCTGGCACAGTCATGAATTTTTTTCTGTGGAGTTGTGTGTAGCGAACATGACAACACACACACAACCACAAAAATGTGCCCAACCTTGCATCTTCTATTACACTGCCTATCTATACCTTCCTTGTTCTATGGATGGTTTGTGGATGATTTGTGGATGGAATGAGGAGAGAGTTTGGGGTTCTTTGACAACACACACACACATACACACACACATGGGCCGTCTCTTCGTGAAGACATGTCTGTGTGGGTGGCCACAAGTGTTTTTGGGGTGGGAACACTTGTTTGGAGTTTTGGCCACGGTATTTTCACAACGAGGATCCGAGACTGTTTGCTGTGGGTGTCATTTCTGCGGCCTGCTCTTTTGGAGTACACAGAAGAAATAGGGAAGCTTCTAGGCTGTTTTAAGCAGTAGTGCTCCTGATGTCACGCCGAGATCTTGTGGAGTTTGGGATTATGGAAAGTAGCTGTCTATACGCTCCAGGGGCTAGACAGGGAATTGGAAAGTAGCTGTCTAGCCCTGCTGTGATAGAGGTGATGGTGATGTGAATGGGTAGTTTGGGATGAATAACAGTCCCAATATTGTTGTATTTGTGTGACCAATGGTGACTTTGTCGGCCAACTCAGAAGTTTTCTTTGATCAATTGCTGGCATGGTCGGTGCTTTCTTGGTAATGGAGCTCTTTGTGTTATGGTGCAACTAATTTTTTGAGTTCTATGTGATTGTTGTTTGTTAAACCACCACTACCTTTCACATACATCAGCCTCGGTTGAGGCCCCGCAACATAGGCCGCCGATGAAATTTATCAACGGCGGCTGCCATTGGGCCCAGTCCCCGAAGAATGCGGTATAGGTTGTATTCCCACTTTTCCCAACGGCGGGAAAGGTAGTGGTGGTTGTATTCCCACTTTTCCCAACGGCGTGAAAGGTAGTGGTGGTTTTTGCTGTCCATCCTTTTGTAGATTACAAGCGGATGCCTGCCGCACTCACAGCGGAGACCATTAGGTAGTTACCAGATAGTGCTCCCGTATCCCTGCCTCTCCTTTCCCCCTCTCTCCTCTTCCATTCACCCCCCCCCCCCCCCCCCCCCCCTCTCCTCTTCCTCCTTTCTCGTTTCTTCCCTCTTCTCAGCCTCGTACCCCCCTCTCTCCCCTCCTTCCCCCAGTCACCCTCACTCACCCTCTCTCTTCTGTATGTCTTCTTCATATGTCGTTGATATTGCCTCTGCTGATTTGGTCTTCCGTTATCAACACTATAATGCATGGTGTGTGGGTTTTTTTTGAACAAAACAGAAAAAATCGAGAACGAATCTTTCCACGTTCCAGTGTAAGATTCATTCCCAGTGGAAAGATTCGTTCTCGAGTTGCACATTTGGTGAGCAGTGGAGCGAGGTCCATAGAACAAAAAGCCGCGAGGGCCCTCGCTCCACTGCTCACCAAATGTACAGATCGAGAACAACTCTTTGCACGTTCCAGCGTAAAGACTCATTCCCATTTTGCACATTTGGTGAGTAGCAGAGAGAGGGCCATAGAACTAAAAAATGCCGCGAGGGCCCTATTCACCGAATGTGCAAAATGGGATTTCCGCTGGAATATGGAAAGACACACCGTAACACCGCCATTTTGGCATCGTGCATGTCGAGAATACTTGGGCGAGGTCCATAGGAAACCAGTCTGCGAAACGGCAGAGGGGACGCCTCGCTCCAGTGCTCACCAAATGTGGACACACAGGACTCCAGATGGGCGCCACGCTGAGGGAACTGCAGAAGCACAAAGATAGAAAGGCCGGCAAACGGAACAAAAGCACCACTTCATTTTGCCCATGCTGACTTTTCCGACAGTGGCAGCGGTGTCTGGCGTGGGGCGGTAATGCGAGACCCACTATTTTCGTTAGGAGTATAGCCTGTATAGGGGGAAAGTATATCCATTTGTGCAAGCGTGCCGCTTCGGCGGCCGACGGGTGGGTGGGCACTTGGCGCTTAACCACACAAACATAGCCAACCTTGCGGCTTCTGCTATTTTGCCTACCTTAGGCTACTTACACTTTCTTTTGTTTTATGGATGGTTTGTGACGATTTGTGGATGGAATGGGAGAAAGAATTTGTTTTTTTGGAAACACACACACACGAAAAGGGATTTCAATGGAATTATTGTGCTCCATGCTACCTGGTATAGAGGTAAAACTGTTTCATTGTTGGAACGTCTCAACTCAAATGTGCTTCATTGTCTGCAAAAGGACTAAAGCTGGTTCGGTTTTGGTTCTACTCATCTGGGTGGATTAGGGGGCGTTGTGGTCAAAATCCAAAGCACGCACACACACACACACACACAGGTGTGTGTGTGTGTGTGTGTGTGTGTGTGTGTGTGTGAGAGAGAGAGAGAGAGAGAGAGAGAGAGAGAGAGAGAGAGAGAGAGAGAGANGAGAGAGAGAGAGAGAGAGAGAGAGAGAGAGAGAGAGAGAGAGAGAGAGAGAGAGAGAGAGAGAGAGAGAGAGAGAGAGAGGTGGACATTTACTGCCGGCCATTGTTGCACCACAGACTGTCCCCTTCAACCAATAGATGCTGACACACTGAGGTGGGGACTGGTAGCTGCCAGTGTGGCAATGGGACAACGCTGCATGCGCTAGTACTCATCGCAGTTGGGTTTTTAATTTTCCTCTTTCCCCCTGATAATCATGTCTATCGTGTGGATCGTCTCAAATGTTCAGGTTTTGAAAACTTATTTTCATGTTTCAATGGCCTTTTTCTTCGTAGCCTATCTGCATGTGACTTCCGGCAATCGCCATTCATCACCAACACCCCTCGCTCTGTTGTATGTAAAACCATCCTCCCTCCCATCGAGCTGGTCTTCCTCCTCCTGTTCCCTTCCCTCCTTTGTAATCCGATGATGGCACCCTGAAAATTGGTAGGAAACCAGTTATTCGTCCAAGCGGGACCTTCACAGCATGGCACTTCCTTTTCTGAGAATGCTACACTGTAGCTGACTGGTTGGCGCTGACCCTATGCCCTCCCGCTGGCTGGTAGCTGTCAGTGGTCGGCCAGGTGCAACCCGGTGTATAACTTTATATTCTATTCTGTATATCTTATGAAGTAAGTGGGCTGCCTCCCACCCAAAATGGATGAAAAGGGCCTTAAATCCCGAGGCAAAAGTGTGTTTTCATGCAAAATATGCTCTTTTCAGTTTTCAGGATTTTCAGGATTTCCTCGCTGAAAACTTCAACGTTGATCCAAAAGAGTATCCCAGTACAATGGCTCTCCCTCCTAAGGGAGGACTTCTCGTGGAAATCCGGGGATTGGGGCATACTCATCTCCCAAACCCAGCCTACTAGAGCATATCGATTCGTCTCTAGAACCAACCCACTCTGCTACCTATCTAAATTTGACTCGTACCCCATAGCTGATCACAACCTACAAGAGCTGGAAATCCAGAACAAAGATCCCCAGGGCGACACACTAGAAACGTTCCGACTGAGAAAAGTGAGGGTTTCAAAGTCTAAACCCTGGAAAATCTTCCAACTGGACCTCAGCATGTCAGACCTTGAATTCGACCCGAAAGAGAGTGGGTTTGGAAGCAGGGAAATCCGGGAGAACGAGAGCGATATTTGATTACGATGTCAAATTCGGCTATGAGCTGGGTCTGCAAACCACAGACCCGGACCCCAGACTCAAAGGAAAAAATTCCATCCCATGGACGAAGTATCTGACCATTAGACGGGTTAGGATTCGAAGCATGCAGTGGCTCTTAGCGCACGGATTGCTGCCGGTCAATCAATGGCTCCACAAGAGGAGGAAACATACGGACCCTGACAGCGCTGAGCTTTGCAGGCTATGCACAGATAGCATCCCGGAAGATATACCCCACTGCCTACTGTACTGCACGGAAGCAGCATGGATATGGAACAAGGTGCACATCCTATGGTCCCTCCTCTTCTTATCCACCCTTCTGCCCACAACCCTCCTGAACATCCTGCTCCTTTCCAACAATACTAACAATCTTAAAGCCAGCAAGGAAGTATGGTTTCACCTGCTCAGGAAGCTGTCTCTATGGGTAATCTGGAAAAGGAGATGTACCAAGACTATCGAAGGAATTGAGGTGGCAAGAGAAGAAATGTGGGTACTTTTGCTGGGAATGGCCGAAACTGAGATTCGAGCCAGATGGAGGGAGGTGAGATCAGCAACGAAAGGCAGACCAGAAAGGATAGCCATCAAGAGATGGAACTTCATGAGAAACTGGCTTCTTCAGGGAAAGATTGCAACTGTGACAGATAACAGATTGATTTGGAAGAAATGGCACAGCACACCTCCAACGAGGACGGTGCACCAGTGATGGGCAAACTGAGATTGTCATCTCAACAGTATCGACAACTCTCCTCTTTTCTTGCTTTACAGGAATCAGCCGACAGAGTCACAATAGATTCTGAGAGGCAATAGATTCTGAGGAAAAGTGGCATGGCAAGCTGACAGTCAATCCTCCGGATAGGGAGCAAAAAATCAATGGTGGTCAGGGTTCCTTCGGCCAGACGGAAGGAAGCGTGAGAGTGTTCACCATGTATCTCAATTTTATTGACTTGCCGGTGGAAAGGAACCGGACTGGCGCTCCCCAGAATGGATAAGGAGCCAGGACCGTTTCCAGGGCTGGCCAAACCACTAATCTCCAGGACTCCAACAAACAACAAACTCGGCACTTGCAGGCCTTGACCAAAAATAAAACAGGGCCAAAAAAAAAAAAAAAAAAAAAANGTGTTATGGAAATAGGACGCTACTGTGAAATGCATCACAGCGAGCCACCCTGTACAAGTTTACAACACAGCGCAGAAAACTCATCATACCATGGCCTGTCTCTTATACACATCTAGATGTGTATAAGAGACAGCCCTTTACCTTTATTCCTTAGACTGAAAAAAAAAAAAAAAAAAAAGGCTGAACCAGGGCTGAAAAGTTGGGGTCCCTCCCTGTTAAACGCTTGTGCCCCACCTCGCTTTTCCTGCCAGCTCCTGGCACTCCCTCTCACTGCCCGTAGTAGTGGTCAGTAAGCCTTCTGTAGCTGTACATTTGTCTAACAGTTAAGTTTTTCCGTTCTTGCCGACATTTGGCATTCCAACGTGCGGAGCAAGTTGTTTTTTTTTTTTTTTTGTCTCGACAGCGTCTTGCTGCGTTTCGTACCTGTCTCATAGCTCTAAGATTGTGTCAGAGTGGTTGATTCTGTGTGATGCCTCAGGCCGGCTGGCTGTGATCGAACTTAGCATGCACCAACTTGATTTGGCATACCACCTTTTGTAACATGTCCTCTTCCTCGCTGCATTTTCTATGCATGTGGTTGCTCTATGATTAATTTGAAGTGTACGACTCCGTGTCATTGCTTCCAGGTCAGGTGGCTGTGGGCGAACTTAGCGTGCAACAGCTTGCTTTGGCGTCATCTGCATCAAAGGTTGTTGCGTCTACTCTTACTTATCCCCATGAGGTAAGCTTGGTGGGCATGCTGAAACCCCTTTGTTGGATGCGATGAAGGAAGCCAGGGAGTGAGGAATGGGATAGGGACAGGTGAGGGACGCAAGAAGGTCAAGAGGTGGGGTGAGATGGGGTTTTGCTGATCTTGCTTTGCCGAAAAATCTGTCAGAGGAGCCTTTGTGTGTAACCCTCATTTTTTTTTATAAATCTAGCGCATTCCTGTTATTGTGATCGATTCACTTGAAAATCTACTGGCGGTCTTTTTGTGTGCCGTTCCTGTTATTGTGATCGATTCACTTGAAAATCTACTGGCGGTCTTTTTGTGCACCGTTCGTTTCTTGAAATCTACTGCATTGCTGTATTCGGATGATCGTGGCAGGAGTTTATTTTACGTGCTGACCTATTTCTTCATGTCCTCTGTAGGGGCTGAAGATGTCTTGTAGTTTACCTTATTAAGTTTCCCCGTTCTCCCAACTCTTTTTTTCACTCTCCACCGCTGTGGTTATCACTCGTCACAGAACCTGAACACCTTCGTCATGTGCATCTTAACGGTGGTGTATTTGTGCACACCTCTGTGATTGATCTTGGTGGTGCATTTCTGCTTGCCTCTCTGATCGATCGTGTTTCATATCCCTTAAGAGTTGTTGTCAACTTATGTCACAAAGAACTTGGGTCTCTAGCGTTCAAATGTTCTGGATGATGTGGCTCTGCAATCTCCCTGACTAATCCCTCTCAGGGTCTTCTACTGTAGTCACTTGCATCTCAACCGGACCTCGAGGGTCTTTACCATCTGCATCTTCACTGTCGTGAAAGTGTGCTTGCCTCTCTGATTGATCCGATCGTCGTGTGGTTCACGATTGTCAATCGACTTGAGTCACAAACAACTCCGACGGTCTTTGGCTATTGCATCTTCGATGTGCTGTTGCTGTGGACACTCCTCCGATTAATCGTCATTTTTGGGTCCGTACTACTATTCCCATCTACTACTAGTATCATCAAGGACCTTGAAGGACTTGGCATTCTCATCCTCTGGGTGCTGTTGCTGCATGCAGATCTTTGATTAATGAGTAGAGCGCTCAGAACTGGATATGCATCAGAATGCTGGGATGCAAAGGGATTGCTCCGCTTCTGTTTCGTTTCTGAGAACACGAAAAGGAGGAGCTCGGTTTATGAATGTGGAATCCCAAGTGTGAAAGCAGTCGGCCAAACTCTTTCCTGAACTACAGCGCACGGGTATGGTTATTTGTGTTTGGGGACTTTGCTGTCCCAGGTGTCATATTTATGGCTGTGTATTACATCTGGTAGATGTTGGTGAATTGTGCATGCAAAGTCCCATGACCAACAGGGGCTAGCCATTCGCTATCCTTTCAAGTGTTTGCACTGTTTCTGCTTGGACCATCACTGCATGAGCAATAACTGAAAGGCCTGCTTGTGCCATCCTGAGAAGGATTAACATGCATGACAGCTGTGAAATCGAAGGGCATACTAGCGATGCACCCGCCTCTCTTGACCGAATTTCGCCACTGTCACGGTCAGAATCGTGAGATGCGTCAGGCACAGTCCAAATGTGAGTATCACCTAAAGCAGGTTGCCTTTCGGCACCGTTTACTTGCATGGCATTTGAAAAGGCAAGCTTTGTAGCGGGTGAGAGACATTGGCTATTGTATTTGAGATTTGAGTGCCAGAGGTGCCTATGAAGAAACAACGTATTTTCTGACATTTCTGAAAACAATGACAGCATTCTGCTTTGCACGTGAAAGTGTGCTAGTCATGAATTGTGTGATATTCAGATGTGGGGTGCGTTGGACGGTGCTGCATGTGGCGTTCCGGTGGTCCGCTCTACATCGGCGCATCAGGCACGCAGGTGCTGCTCCTAATCGTCGTCATTCTGTGCGAGGAAGCAGAGACCTTCCGGTCCACATCTGCGAATCCTGCACATAGAGCCTCTGTGTGGTTTTCTAAGGGGGGTCATTACTGATAATGCCGTGCATGTAATCTGTATGGGGTCTGTGCAGGTTGTGAGGTCTAGATTGCAAGAGCAGACCCGAGCCTCAGGGGAACCCCTCAAGTATACAGGAGTGATGGACTGCCTCAGAAAGGTAATGGACAGAAATTGAAGCAAGAAAGGGAGGACGGGAGGAAGGGAGGAAGGGAGGGGAGGCAGTAGGCAGGAAGGAACGAAAGTAGGAAGAAAAATGTGGGAGGCGGGCTGGAAGGAAGGGTGTGCAGAGGGAGTAAGGGAGGGAGGGGTAGGGAGGGGGTGGAGGGAGGGTAGGGGGGCGAGGCAGTAGGCAGGAAGGAACAAAAGGAAGAAAAATGTGGGAGGGGGGCTGGAAGGAAGGGTGGGAGGAGGGAGTAAGGAAGGGATGGGGAGGGAGGGGAGGGAGGGGAGGGAGGGGAGGGAGAGGGCAATATTTAGCAAATGGGAAATGAGGCCGCATGAAGATCTAAATTACAACAAGGGTGCAAAAAAAAATAAAAAAAAATTACAACAAGGGTGCAATAACTCAGCTCAAATCATGCATCTGTCGTGGGCTAAGGGTCGTCATTTTGGCCTAAGGCCGAGATAGGGGTCAAACGGCCACACCCCAGTCATGAACACAGCCTGAACAAAGGCCTGCTATTGTGGGGTACCCGATGCAAGGCCTAAAACCGGCCTTCAGAGGCCCAACGTGCGACAGTTGACTGTGGAAAGTCAAAGGTCAACAGCAGCTCGGAAATTCACTCTCACGAATCAAAATCAACATGGACCCAGTCCAGGCCATCGGTCAAAAACACGCACTTGGCTGTTTGCAGGTATTTGTCAAGGATGAAGTCCAAGTGGGAATCTGTAACTGTAAAGATCCAGGCCATTGGCTGCGAGACAATCTGGGCCATCGTACCTGAGAGACCAGAGGCTGGTCAACTGGAGTCAACACTACATATTGACTCAGCCCTGCTGACCGACGTTCAGTCTTGCACTTGCTGCTTGACGCTGGCTTGATGCTGGCTCGACGCTGGCTTGACATTGACGACGAAGTGAGACTGCTGAAGTTTCGGGCTGGTGCCTTCTCCGTCTGTGGCGCCAGCTGGATGCTTGACTTTGCTGATGTGGCTCTTGCCACACTGTCTACGAGATTGATGAGTCGCCGACGAGGCGGAGGAGGATCAGGGCTTCGAGATTGTGGAAAGCTTACCTGTCTGCGTTCGTGATCGGTGCTTCAGAGGTTGTCTGCGCTGTGCAGGCGCCACGTGGAGGTCTGTTCATTGTCAGAGTGTGTCAGAGGAGACTGTCTGCTGATGTGGAAGTTGGAGATGCCCGAAGGCCTGGGCTTGTGAGGCAGATCTATCTGCTACGCTGATGGGCACTTTCTCTTCCCCACAGTCTTATCTTCCTCCTATCAGCCTCTTCTCTGGTGACATGACATTGGGCTACTCGATTACTTGTACAATTTTTGGAGACATTGTATCTGCGCTGAGACGTACTGCTTCTCGACATTGACGAGCGTTCCATCTGACTGGGTTCATTGCAAGGGAAGTCAGGTAGGAAAGGAAGGCATGGAGGGAGGGTAGGGAGGGGGCAATCTCTAGCAAATAGGAAATGAGGCCGTATGGAGATCTAAATTACAACAAGGGAAAAAAAAAAAAAAAAAAAAAACAATTACAACAAGGGAAGCCAGGTAGAAAAGGAAGAGTATCTGGGAAACCAAGGCACAAGCGTACATAACGGCCGTTCCTGCTGAAATAAGCATACGGTTCAAGAGGTGGAATGAGAGTCTAGGTGGAGGGCTGAGTGGCGAGGGCGGCTACCTACTTTACTGAAGGTGGGGGAGGGTCCCCGTCATATTCAGAGCACCAAATGGTTGATTTGAGCTGCCAGGGAATTGCATGCAAGATCAACCAAAGAACAACAAGAAGCTCCCTTTGCCTCCTCCTCCTGCTCCTTTCTCTCGTACAAGCTTTATCTATGGCGGACTCTAGCAAGTCTTGGGGTGATGAGCTCCGGTGCTGCTGCTCTCCTGAAGGTGGTGGAGTGGCCCCATTGCATCCAAATCAGCGGCTGGTGGATTTCAGCAACAAGCGAGCTTCATGCTACTGGAGTGGAATAAACAGCAAAAAATCTGACGCTTCGGCTATGACCTCGTCGTCCTCCTGTCTCACGCATTCTTTATCCGCCATCTATGGCCATCACTGGTGTGATGAGCTCTATAGCTGGTTAAGAAACATTGTGCGGAGTGGCAAGAACTGACATTGAAAATGAGAAAACCAGCATGCCAACTGCTGCCAAGACCCTTCCCCCCACCCCCTCCCCCTTCTCTCTCTCTTTCTCTCCTTTTCTCCCTGCACTCCTCCCGAGTCCCTTTGTTCAGTCTTGTCAGAATCTACGCCATCCACTTGGAATGTGCTATAGGATGACCCAGACTGGACGCTTTCCCCAGCTCTATTTATATTTATATAGAATCACTGGCTGGATGAGGCTGGTCTGGATCTCATTCCCCTAACCCTTGCTGCATTACCTGCTGTGTTTTTTAAAGGACAGAATAGCGAGGATAATCCTATGTGCCGGGCAGTTTGCTTAGAATAGTACAAGTTAGGGTTACAAAAGGAGTACACTTTGGAAAGCTTTGGTTGGTCGTCAGATTTTCGGTCCTGATGTTCGACCTTTCATGTCCAGAGAATTTGAAACAACGAGTCTGTCGAAAAGGCTGGAGGCGCATCACCAGGTCTTGTGGAGTTCCGGGTCCACCATGCGGTCCTGGCTAGGTCAACCACCAGGTCCTGGTCAACATGTGATACATCACTACGTCTTAAACCCCCAGTGCATCTGTGCCTCTTTTTCGCGAGGCAGGTTTCCACCCTCATGCCAAGCTTTGCCGAAATGCCAGCGCCGGGCTTTTTCTTTTCTTTTGGCTTGCAGTGCCGTCGGGTGGTTCGGGACCTACAAAATTTTCTGAACGACTCCTTTTCGAATCTCAAGTTTGTGTGTACTGGCGGTGTAAGAAACGCAAAAGATGCGAAGGGTTATGACTCTTATGAGAAAGTCCAGCCTTGCAGGTACAGAGGGTTTCCGGGAATCGCGAACAGGCGCTAGCAAAGTGTCCAGAATTTCACTCGCGAGGGCCGTGCGCAGGGTGAAAGCAATATATGGCAGTGGCAATACCAGCCAGGCACAGCGGGCACTGCTTCAGGAAGAAGGCAACGTCGAATAACCTGCATGCTGTCTGTCATCCCGCTGATCAATCGGTTCAATGCTCCGAACGGAGTCCCAGGGATGAAATAGTGAAGCAAAGGTTGGATCTCTGGCAAGGAAATGAAATGAAACGAAGGCGCTTGCATTGGCCAAGAAAGGTCCAGCTGCCTCCATCGCCTGACCTTGTCACATTCGCCTGACCAACTCACATTCTAACAGAGTTGTGAACTTGTGACAGCTTGGTCTCCGAACACGTGGCGGTGATGGAGTCTCAATACAATTTCTCCACTTTCTTGGGTGGAGTATGATTGACATACATGATGTCTCCGCATCTTAAGCCGCCAGCACACCGCCCAGGTAAAATTGAGAACCAAGACCAAGCCAATCTGAAAATTTTGGAGGCTGTGGGCTACCAGTCCAAAATGGCTGGAGGTGCCAGCCAAAAGAAGAAAAAGAAACGCTGTGCTGACACTTTGGAAAAGCTTGGCGCGCGGGGAAGAATTCCGCCTCAGCAAAAAGAGGCTTGGAAGTAGTGGTGGTTTAAGGTGCTGTAGTCCTTGGTTAGGGTAGGGGTTGTATACACCTTGGCGGGGCCATCTGATCAGCCGGAGTTTATCTTTTCCCTCTTCTGGTGGAAGGAGAAGCAGTCAGAGCAGGTGTGTCCTCTGCCCTGCTAGCCCAGCATGGCAGGTAGCGAACCTGTTTGCTGACAGAGCTGGCCCTTTTGCTCCTCCTTCCCTATTATTATTATTATGTTTCTTTAGGATTTCTGCCCCCTGCCCTCTCTACCTTGCTTTCTTCCCTTTCTCCCTCCTGAGTCCTTACCCCCTTTTCCTTTATCACCTGTATTCTCTCTCTCTCTCTCTCTCTCTCTCTCTCTCTCTCTCTCTCTCTCTCTCT